AAAGTTTTCCAAGCAGAAGTTGATTATCTGATAGGAAACTGGGACCCTATGCATACCCATTATTACCTAAGAAAAAGCTTCACCTTTACTGGCAGTAGCTCAAAAAGACTTTTACTTTGTATAGCACTCATCCTACTCAGAGCCATCAAGTGGAAAAAGCTGTGATAGATCGCATAGAATTGCGGGAACTATTCTTGCAGCAAGGTGAAATACAAACTATCTTAAATTCTACGTGGCAAACAGCAATCATCCTGATCTTCCCCTCACAACTAATATTGGTGTACCTATTTTGTAACAGCATAGCTGTGTGTTCTGCTCAGCTGTTAACAATAGCTTTGTAAGCAAGTGTTGCAAGCCCTTATGGCTTTTTGATATGCCTATGTTGCTGCTTTTCTTTCCATTTCCCCTACTATGTGCCAGGTTACAGAAACACTTCCAAGCAGCAGATTCAGAAATAGAAAGAGTTCAAGGCCAGGTTTCACACCTGCAACCTTGCAGTTCTGGGCAGTTCTAGCTCCGAAGACCAGTCTCCTCATTATAAATCCAAGGCTTCCTCTAACATCCAGGTTTTATGTTCAGTAATTCCAAATTAAGTTTATGTTTTTTTACTTATTTGTTTGGGGCAGGAAGGGATGGGAGAAGGAGGAAGAGGGAATACTGCATGGAAGCTATGTAACCATTACATATATCACATTTTACTTTGACGAAGTAATTTAATTGAATGCCACAGTAGTTCATGCAAATTAATTTATCACCCTATTTAAGACACTGTCTCACTCCAATTCCCACAAAAAAAAAAGTCAAAGAGAGCTACTCCTATTCAACACTAACATACCATTCATACTTTGGCTTCCCTAAATACTTCAGAGGGTAATACAAGTTAGCACAAAGTTTTAAAGGGTTAAGTAGCAGTTCTAATTTTTATTTCTTTTAGAATTCTACACAAGAATCTGTTTTCTAAAGCACTATAAATATAACATTTAGTTTACAGCAGCAGCAGCAAGCTATCGCAAACACCCCATATGCCTCGCGAGTTCCAGAGTGGGGGGATAGGAGACAAATGCCTTAAAAACAAAACAAAGCAGCCCCCCATATGATACTAGTGTGCTATGTCCATGTATGTGCCAATGAGAAATTTTGACACCTAGAGGGTATTAAAATAGAATAAGGCATCAGCAAGCACTGTGGCTGAAGTAGTATATTTTGGTTTGTTTAGAAAATGAGTTGTTCTGTAGTTGGACAAATTGCCACGCAAGACCCATTTCTTGACTCCAGGTGTGATTTATGCAACTCATGCTGACTCTGTTCATCTTGGATGGACTGCATTATACTGCCTACCGTACACAGGACTTTTCTTGCCATGTTGCTCTAGTAGCCCTGCAAAATAGTTTAATAATCTCTTAGTCTCTGGCACAGAAAAGGATTAAACAAAACAAAACAAAACAAAAAAAATGTCTAGTTTGCTACAAGACAAGAAAAATATATAAAAATTAAAAGAAAATTGGGAGGGAACAAAACTGTAACTCTGCATTGCCTTTGAGAAGAAATATAAACAGAGCTCTCTTCTGATATATACTGACTGTCCAAATGGGAAAGACCCAATGACATTTTTAGAAGAACAGGATAAACAACTCCCTGTTCTAGCTAACAGTCAGTCTCTCTCTGCATAGAGAGACAGAAAGAGAATGCAAAGTCGTTTGTACATAGCTGAGACTGTAAGCCACTGGAGTTTCGGCATTGCTACTTAATTCACTCTAAAATTCATTCAGATAGTTGGGGGGGGGGGCGCGGCGGGCGGGAGGGGGAAAAACCTCTTTCCAGAAAAAGAAAAAAAAAAATCCCATGTCTTCATTTTAGAAGGCAAGAAAACTCTGGAAATGATCCTAATGTAAATCTCAGACAAATCTGCATTTTGCTTAAACAAGAACTTCAGGTTTAGGCCATGTATGAAAGTAGCTAAGAGTTCCCCATTAAGTCTAGTTCTACTTGAGACACTGAGATGTCAAAAAACTTCAGAGTGAAAATTTAGTAACTGGCTTACCACAGAGGAAAGAAGTTGAAAGAAAAACAGACAGTTATCATCTGTGACTTAAGTTTGTCTTTCAGGAAATGAAGATCCTTACGGTAGTAAATATAATACTTGAATTGTTTGCAAATAGGTTTAAACCTCTAATTGCCATGCACAAGGAAAATCTATGCACTATCAGAACTCAGCACAGCTAATTACTAGAAGGCAAAATAAAGATTTTTGTTAAACACAGCGTGTGTTCTTCAGCTATTATATCTATCAATATTTATGTCACTTACAGCCCTTTCTGGGTGGTTGCTGCATACATTTTGTGTGCAGTCAAGAAGCTTCCCGACTGCAAACGTGCTTTTAAAAAGAAAAGCTAGCCCGAACCCTGCATTTCCAATTCAAGCAGTGGATTCTGAAGCCTGTTAACTCCCTGGAGCAGCTGATAGTTAAAAGACTTGTTTCCGCTTTTCTAACAATTTCCTGGTTTGCATAACAATCCTAAAAGAAACACACTCAAGAAGTTTTCCAGCACAGAGAGATTTTGTCTCCAACATACTTCTAGTTTCAAGGCATAGAAAATATTTATATATAATTACAATAACTTTAGAGATATATTTGTCTACAAATACATTTACATATAAATATGTATCAGCTACTTGGTTTAAAACAAGATTATGATAATTTTGCCATATCCAGGAAATACAAAACACTGGCTTATGCCTGGTGCTTAACTCATGCCATTGTGAATAAAGAGGGGGGAGGGAAGGGGTTTAATGTTTAATTTCCTGTTAAAAACACACACAGGATAAAATCTTCCAAAGAGCAGTTATAAAACATGCATTTGTTAGCCAAGAAACTAGGTAAATATGGAATGAAGCCCAGGCTCACTTTTATTCCTTCCCCCCCCCCTCCAAAGAACAAAGTAACTGAAGGCCACGGCGCATATTTGGAGGCACTGAGCTCTACTCAGTGACTAGACAATTAATCAGCCTGGCTGATTTATGCACCCTGTATCCACCGGGGTAGTTCCTCAGATAATGCAATGATGCAGTTGAACTCAAGGTACTGTATTGCCATGTATACTTGCACAGGTGCCAAACAACCATTGTACCAACTACTGACTACCTTACTGACACAACTGTCTGGCTAAACACAAATAAAATAAGCATTAACATGTAGTTGGGACCTACCAACAGCCAGTTTCTAGCAACAACAGATTGAGGATACCACTACCTTCAGCAGTGGCTGAAGACACTACAGTGGATATTTTTTAGAAGTTACAAGGGGAAATATTGTTTTCAGATCCCACTGAAACTCAGTGCCATCCACGCTGGAACTATGACTTCACCTGCAGCAATTCAGCCTTCATCACAGTTCTACCATGCATAATGACGTATTAGGTTGTTCTGCAATTCACCACACTAGAAGTCCCAGACAAATACCAGATTTCTTTTTGATATATAACAATTACAGCCTTTAACCATCTCAGTTCTTCTCTTTGTTGAGATGCCCAAATTAGACAAAAATATGGACTGTATTTAGGAGAACTTGAACGTTTATAACAGTTTTCAACAGTAACACTGTATTTTTGGATCTTACAATAAAAATAATCCATCAAATACTTTCTGTCTACTGAGTTAGGGTCAAAGTCAAGTCCTCAGTGCACACCTTGCAGCATGGAATTGGAGTTGTGCTACGTCTTGCGACCTGCCAGGATTCACATTCAAAATTAGATGTAAACAACTCTGTGAGTGGCTTCAATTTTGTTTTGTTTTTCAAATGAAGATAAATTTATTATTGCAGGTATAGCTCGAGAGCTTTCTTAGCTTTTGGTAGCATGTTATTCAAATTAACACAGCTTAAGCTTTTTAAGTAGATGCACCTTAAACACCTTCTAGTCAAGGCATTTAGTTTCATTTTTGATGCAAGAAAAGAAAGGCACAGAGATTACTTATTTCTCTGGTGAACTAATCTGACAGTAGGCATGTTGAATTTCTTGCAGACTCATTGTAAAACTGGCTTTGAGACAATAAACAGTCCTGAGTTTATTTCTAAAACCTGCACGTAACAGCTGTTGCAGGTATTTGTGCTCTTTCCTTAAGAAATCAACCGCTATTGACCACTGATTTAATGACAGTTCATCAGTGAATCTCATATTACTGCATGAGTTCAAAATCTTCCTGTTTATTTTCACTTGCTGATAACTGGACTTTGTGCCCTGATCCCATGATTCTTCATGTGAAAAGACAATTGACTAACAACATTAGGAAGGAAAAAGGGAATAGGGTGGAGAAAATGTGCAACACAAAATGAGCCCTGACTTGCCTTCTCAGTACTGTATGTACCCCCAAGCAATGAAATTTCAAGAAAATGATTATGTTTCTGGCCAACAGTCAGAATATATAAGATGTTATACACCCTTTGCCTCACTATATGTTGCTACTGCAGACTCCATGCAAAAGCAAGATTTTTTTTTTCTTTGCTTCGCAACAGTAAGGCAAGTTTACAAGTATTTACTGCTAGTTACATCAAGGTATTGAAAATTCAAGTGAAGTAGTAGTATTCTCTAGTGCAGTGGTGACCTGAGCCTTTAATCCAGATGAATTTAACTGTAGACTGCATTAGCTCTTCTCATAAAAGATTTGCTTTAATTTTAGTTCTCTCTCCATTTATCTTATGGCTGTGTAATCTTCAGTAGAGGTCAAAGATTTCCCCAAAGAAACAGGAGCTGCTTCTTTTTTAGAGGGGAAAAGCATATTTAAGACAGTTCATCCTACTTTTAAACATATGTCACAGGACAGTACTCTCTATGCTCTCCTTTCTCTGTACTCTCCTTGTTTCTTTACATGTTCCAAAGCAATTAAACAAGCATGCATGTGCATGCACACACATATACAAATGAAACATGAAATGAAAGCACCTACTGAAGATAGGATACACAGCCCATCTGCTGCAAAGACTGAAATTATTACTAACATCTTACCATCATCCAGCTCAAGACAGAGATTGTAAACAGCCAGAGGCCTCTTAATACGCTGTCCTTGCCTTCTTGATTGCCTTGGTGGGGCATTTGGAGGAGATACTGACATAGAGATTGGCTCAGGGAAAGTGGCATCAGGCAGGGTTTTGAAAATCTGCAATCAAGAACACAAAGGGTGTTAATTATTTATCACGAAGAGCAACCTGTGTAATGCAACTGTAAACCATTATCAAACAACATTTGTTTTGGATTTCATTCAAAGCAGGCAGGAGCCAAAAATCCATTCCTTCAAGTTTGGGAGTATGCCGTGGGTCTTTAATGAGTGCTTTTAAAATAAATAAATAAATATAATATAATATGAAAATAAGCAAGCGCACTGTCTACACATTAACCAAGCTGCAAATCAGTTAATCCAAAGACAAAATATTTGCAGCCATGCTTGCCAGCTAGGATGGAGGGGAAGGGGAAAAAGGGGGATACTAACTTTATGAACCAGTAACCAAAAAGCTTTATAGCTTTAGCTCGGACCTATAGTTTTGCCAGAATTTCCATTTTAATTTTCAAAACTTGTGATACCATTATAATATCAGCCTTTTTAATTTAAAAAAACCAAACATGCTCTTGAAGAGAGCAAGGGGAAGATTTTGAGGGAAGGGGTTTTTAGTGAGGGATACCATAGTAACATACCATGTGAGAATTTTTTCAGTTAACTATTGCATATTGAGTCACATTTATATTAAATTATGATATTCACAAAGATGCATATAAAAAGGACTGCATTTCTTGTCATCATTTTATGTTTTGAGTCATGACCATTAGCATATCACCACTCCATACAAAATACCATGTCATTTCTCTCTGGATTAACCAGCAACGCAGATTTGCTCAACCTGATAGCATTTCTGTATGTGACTTTAACTGTCACATATAGGATACAGTCTAATGATGCTGATTTACTTCCAGAAAATTATCAGTATGCTGATGTACAATTTAACAGCAGCCTTTTACAATTGATCATGGCAGATTCACACATGAACAAATTAGCTTAATACGTATTTCATCAAAGACAAACCAGCAGATAAAGAAAAACACAAACAGCAGCTGTACAAGAAAAGCCCTGTGTCTGTACGACACCTTACAGCAACACAACACGGTAATATAACAAGATATAATGAAACAGTATATGGTGTTCTTTTACTCTGCAACTTTACATTGCCACATATCTGTATAGGAAATACTATAAAGAGGAGACTCATAACAAATCTTTGAAGGAGAAGCTTTTTATGCAGTAGAAATTCATGCAGAAAGTATAAAGAGATGCCACAGATACACACTTTTGGATTATTACAGCATATGTCAGGTGCAGCATGAAGCTAAAAGCCAGCCAGGCTTCTCTACAGGTGAGAAAAATGCCCTAAGCATCCTGCAGTAAGGCACGCAAGACATCGTGTTAAAAATGTAAGAAACTCTACATGCCATCATATCCTGGCTTGTTAACCCTGAATATTAACATGTGTAGGAATAAGATGACCCAAGAACCCATGTATACACGGGCTTATAGCTGCTTAATCATCACTCTTGTACTGGCAGGTAGAAGACTGTGCTGGTATAAAATAATCAGAAACACCATTTTCCATGAAAACTGTGGAAGAATGATCATATTGCCAAAACGGAGCAGCAGTGGGCCGGAAGCCTATATATGGTGTGCAAAGGAAAGCTCCAGTGGAAATACTACCTTCCTTCCCAATAAGTGAATGTTGCTGTGGGGGAGGTAAAATGATGTAATTTGAACTTCCCCATACCAGTGTTAAGAAAAACGGCTCCCACTCCTTCACATGCCTATGAACAAGGGATTACGAGAGAGCGCCAAAGTAGTGCAAAGAACTCTCTAAAAACAAAATGTTTATAAAGAAGAAAGGAAACAGTCCAACCTGGTTCTCCACAGTACAGACACGGCAGGACTCTCAGACAGTGACAAAGCTCTAATTGTGCTCAGAGTGCTAAAGCCATTTCTTAAAACACGATGCAATATATAAAAATGAAATCTAACATGCACCTACATGGCACTTGGCTAACAGTACCACACTGCCCCCTTATGTGTAAATACAAAGCTAGACTGAGCAGTTTTAGAGATAAATATTTGCTTCTGAAAAATTCAAAAGTACCAAAACTTTAAATGCCATCTTTTCCATGAACTAAGTGTTGCATTTGGGCTCTCTGGTAAATAACACTCTGCCAAGAGGTTTCACCATGTTTTTTACTATGTCACATTCCGCAGCTGTGTTTATTTGTACAGCCTTATCCATGCATCTCCACTGAAATGATCATTAATAAGAGAAGAACAAGTATTCCCCAGGAGTACTTCATAAGAGATGAGTTTTCTTGTATGCATTTAGGTGACTTGCACAGGTTGCAGTGAAGTTCTTAAGTGTTTTTTCCTCATCTCACAAATATTTCAATATACTCTTCCAAAACCATTAGCATGAGAAACTAAAAGTCACAAAAGCAAAATACAATCAAGAAAACCATAAAGGCAATCCTTACTCAATGATACTCAGTGCCAGACAGGCAACAGGATAATGAATTGGAGACCGGTATGAATCCAAGTAGATTTCTAATTGCAAGTAGCTATGTGATCTGAAAAAAACAGTTGGTGGTTTGTTCTGTTTCACGGGGGAAAAACCCCTATACAATAAACAGGAGAAATAACAAGAGAGCAGTGAAGTCACACTTCAAACAGTGGCAGTCCAGTACATGCTAGTTAACTTCATAGTGATACCGGTGGCAGGTAATCATGAGCTGCCCAGAATAGTTCTCTCTCCCCTAATAAAACATAAGTTAGGGGTACTGAGTCCTCTCTGTCACTGTCAGGATAAGCATATCACCTCTACTTTTAATTTTTTTAATGGCAGAGCTGTGCACGAATGTTTCCCAACAGCGCTGCTCAGTGCAACCCAGTGCTACCCAGCCACAGCGCTGGGCTGATGGCAGGCAGTCTAAGTTCCCTTCTGCAGACAAGACACTCAGGCGGGCATCAGGCCCATCCCCTATTTTACCTCACTCTGCTCTCGACTTCGTGTTATAACAGATTGGGGTTGGGAAGTTTCATTTCTGGGATTAGGTCAGTAAGTAGTATATTGCTTTCTAGAGAGCAGAGATCACCTCCCTGGGACCAGGGCAAGGGTCCACACGAACTCCATCCTCTCACTCCTACGTTTCTCTGATGCAATGTTACAAGCTGTAACGCTTTCTTCCTTGTGCTCATATTCAATATCTGTCTCCACAGAGAAGAAAGGGATTCCTGAAAGACGTATTTAGATATGAACTAGAGAATGCAACCTCTTGACTATCTGCAGAGCAAATTTACCCATGCAGAGCAAATTGAGACTAATTGTCATAACTCAGCAATGAAATCACCAAGTATCATGAGTTGTCTTGGAGGATTCTGAGACACACAAAAACAAACAAACAAACAAAACACCCCCCAGAAATGACACACACAACCACCACTAGAAAGATCACTAGGGGTTTTTTTATATAAAAGAAACAGGAAACATCCTGCCCTCATGTGTTGCATGAAAAAGCATATCTGGGGTCATTTTTGCCCTTTCAAGCAGCTTATATTTGTGTTCATCCCTACTTTGGTATTTTCTTTTATCTTTTCAGTAGGAAAATAAAATCCAGTACAGCTCATCCATAACTAGACCTGCTTTTTCAGCAGCAGCAATCTCTTTCTGTTGAGGCCAAAGCTACAGCTCATACCACAGTTTTGCAAAGGCGAGCATCTGAAAAGCAAGCAGAGGGTCAACCTCTGCCCTAAGGTGTGCACATACAGCATTCAGCTTCTCTTTCTTACTTTATTTTCACTTAAATAGACAAGTGCTTTTCATCGTGCCTTAATGGATATTTGTCTGCTGCACTGACAGCAGCATTGTAACGTCTGCCTGAGAATGGGGGGATGGAGGCACGCTTTATTTCAGTTGTGGGGAGAAAAGTTTTTTGGTTTTGGTTTTATTCAAATTTGCTTCTAGCCTTATTAATTATTTAAATGCCATTGAAGTATAAATGTTTCACAGCTAATAAAAGATGCCTGCTGTGAGTTGACCTGTTGTCAGAAGCACACTGCGTATGCACAGAAGACGGAATTCAAAATCATACACACACAATGTGAGCACCTGAAATGGTACTAACATTGTTGTGTTTTGACTGACTTGCACAACAAGCATGGGACCACACCTGACTAAGTTTCAGAATATCTTCTTGCACTGCAAGCTGTTGCTATCAGATGCATGGCGAGGCAACCACGCATATCCAATCAGATGGAAACCCTCCCATGGAAGAACAGGATTGAAACATGCTATTTAATAGAAGGTCTCTTTGCTACTCCAAAAAAAGCCTCCCTTCAAGTAAAAGTCAGATCTACCACCATCACTCATCTGGATTGCAGAAGTTACCACAGCTTAGACTAATGCCTGTATAAAGACAAGAATGAAGTCTACTCGTTGAATTATCTCATTCAAGAAGCAATAAAAATGTACTAAACCAACCTCAAAGTTTAAGGACTTCACAGTCACATCCAGTGTTACACAGTTTTTGAGACTGTGGCCAAACTGCATTAGATTTCTAGAATATCAGTTCTCTACAATTTAGTTCTCAAAAGCACTGGCATCCTGCTATTGACCTACTTGGGGGCAAACTCAGAAGCTAAGTGAAACAATTTACATATGGGAGAAAACTAACACATGTAGCACTCAAAATTTTATCAAGCAACAAATCCAACCGTTAGTCCTATCCCAGTTAGTCCGGTATTTTAAATGGCTGTTTGGGTCTGATCTTACATGAAAGCAGAATTTCAGAGTGCACACTGACTTAAGTGGTGGATCAGTCTTCAAACCTGCAGTGTAAAAGTTACAACAAAAAAGATGAGACTCTTGTCGAGCAATTTCAAACACTAGTATGTTTGACCTATTTCTCTCTATGCAATAGTACAAAATGGATACTTTACAAGGCTAAACAAACCACAAACCATCTTGGATATACACCGCTAATAACAGCTCTGTCTAGAGCAGTGAGCCCAAGACCATCCCTACATAAAACCATTCCAATTCCTAAACCTGTGTCCCACAACGTCTATGGAAGTATTTCTTGAGAGTA